ATGAGATACGGATGATCAATGAGTACCCACGTGTGGCCAGCATCACAGCCTCCATGCAGGAGCACATTGCTGCCCGCGGCCCTGACTCTGGCATCCAGCAGGATGCTGACCAGCTCTCTGACATCTCCTGTGAGCCAGCTGCATTGGAGAGCGCCCAGTGGTTCAAGAGCAAAAAGGGCTCTGGGCTGCTGCTGCCAGGGCCACCCCTGCAGCTGTACCGTGAGGACGGGGGGGGCAGCGCCTTCTTGGGCGTCCGCTGTGGCCTCAGCGTCTCCTCACAGCCCCAGGACTACACCTTCCCAGAGGATGGCAAGCCCTCCGTGGAGGGCTCACTCACCGCCATTGTGGCCAGCGACGAGGAGCTCCGTGGCAGCTACAACTGGGATTACCTGCTGAACTGGTGTCCCCAGTTCCAGCCTCTGGCCAGTGTCTTCACGGAGATTGCCCGCCTCAAGGATGAGAGCTCCCTGCGCAAGCCCTTCCCAGCCAAGCCCAAGGCAGAACCCAAGCCCCGCATTGACCCCCCGCCCCTCATCACCTCAGTGGCCCATCCAGGTGCCAAGTCTGTGCCCCCCAAGCCACCACCAGGCAGGACCTTCCCACACCCATCCTCCCTGCGCCGCTCTCCTATTAGCCACGAGGGTTCCATTTCGTCCTCCGCCATGTCGCCCAGCTTCTCCCCATCGCTGTCCCCGCTGGCCGCCCGCTCCCCTGTGGTCTCGCCCTTCGGCATCTCACAGGGGCCATCCACCTCCACCATCAGTGCTGAGCACTCGCTGGAGCCTCCTGAGGAGGCTGAGCTCAGGATTTAGAGCTGGGCCCCTGGACTCCTCTGCCCCAGCCCACAGCCATGGGGCCAGAGCGAGGCTCAGCCCAGGGCTGCTAATATGGGTGCTCATCCCACTCCCAGCCTGGCCTGGCCTGGGCCCCTGGGACTGCAGATGCCCTTGGGGACTGGGGCCCCTGTCCCTCCCACAGCTTGGCAGACCCTGTGCCCTGTGCTGGCTGGTGCCCTATGGACTGCTGACCCCAGTGCTGGCACCCCGGGGTGACGGTCCATGTGCTGCTCGTGGTGGCCCAGATTGATGCTGGGCAGGATGGTGCTTCATGGTACTTGGTGCTCCAGGAGCGACAGGGAGCTGAGGGGGGCTGGAGGCCCGGACCCTGCCCTACTCATCTCCAGGGCCATGCAGCAGCCTGGGTGCAGGAGGACCCTGAGCCTTCCCTTGCGACCCTAGGAGCTCCCAGGGCAGGGTGCGATGCCCCAGGGCACGGACACTGCCTGTGGGAATGAGCCTGCCCCCTGGCCGGGAGGGGACACTCACAGGGCTAGCTGCAGCAGAAGGCAGCAGTACCCACATCTTGCTGCCTGTCTGTGTCTGGGTGGAGACAGGAGAGCCTTTGAGGTCTCTCCAGTCCTTTCATTACCCACTGTAGGTGACACATCCAGGGAATCTCCTGCCCAGAACTTCAGGATGGTTCCTGTGTTCCTGGGAGGGAGGCGTCTGCCATGTTCAGCGTGGGAATCCCGTTCCTAGGACCAGATACCTCTCTGGGCAAGGGTCCCAGGCAGGCACAGTGCCCAGGCACAGGCAGCACACTGGGGCTGGTAGAGCTGTGTGAAGCTGACAGGGACAGTCCAGCCTCAGCAGCAGTGGTGATGGCTGCTGTGACCCGCACCTGCCTCAGCCTGCAGCTGCAGGGGCACGGGTGGGAGGTGGTGCCCCACAAAGCCACATTGCCCAGCATGTTCTCTTACAGCCACAGTGGGGGCACTGGGCATCTGGCCTTCCCTGGGACTCTCTTGCATGATTGCTTCCCAAGACGGTCTGGGCCACCTCCAGAACATGGTCAGGGTGCCAGAACCCCCTGCTCCTGGCCCCAGCCCCCTGTGCGGGGCTGTTCTGCACCCCTGTTATGCACGTTGTGAGCCCGGAGGGGGCCCCTGCCGCGGGGCCGGTCCCCATCTCCTCCCACCATGTGCCCGACCAGTCACACCCGCAGCACACTGAGCTCGCTGGAGCTCTCCCTGGCCCGCTGGAGCTCTCCCTGGGCCCAGAGCTCTCCCTGGGCCCGGAGCTCTCGCTGGCCCGCCGGAGCTCTGCCGGAGCTCTCCCTGGCCCGCCGGAGCTCTGCCGGAGCTCTCCCTGGGCCCGGCTGCTCTCGGGGAGCTGCTCCCACACCACGGGCCTTGGCAGTGCGGCTGTGGGCTCTGCTGCTGCAGTCCTGCTGCTCCCGGGGCTGTGATCCCCACACGGCCGTGGGTACACAGCGAGGGCTGGAACAGCCCTGAATGCCCAGTCTGGTCACAGGTGTGTTTGGGGGTCGGGGCGACACCCCATGCCTGAGCAGAGCTGGGGGCAGCTCCTTCCCGTCACACGCTCCCCAGACCCAGCACATCTGCAGCATGGCTGCAGCCCCAGCCCCACAGGTGTTGTCACAACAGACAAATGCTGTGACATCTGCCTGTCCCCCCATTTCCCATGAAGAGCCATCTGTGGCTGCAGCTGTGTGTGTCACAATCAGCTTCTCATCCCCCTTGTGCTGTGGGGTCCTGGCATGCGCCACTAGGTCCCGGGTGCTGTCCTGGGCACAGGGCAGTGACAGGGGACAGGCATCTGCAACAGTGACAGGGGCACCAAGGGGGTCCCACAAAGGCCCGTGCCCGCTCGTGCCCACCCTCCATGCCTGGGGACCCACAGGGGCCTGAGGCGCCCTGGGAGGGGCAGATGGTTCTGCCTTGGCACAGGGGCAGCCCACAGAGGTTCTTGGGGTGGGCACTCTCATCCCCTCTCTGTCCTGCTCACAAGCACTGTGGGGACACACTGTTCTCCCCAGGCCCCATAGGGACACTCTGGGGGTGTCTGGTGTCCCCCAGTCCCATGCTGGGGTGCCTGATGCCCCCTGGCCTTGTGCTGCCCAGGCTGCCCACACAGCCCAGCTCCACTGCACATCTGGGATGAGGACAGACATGGGTCACTCTGCACGCCACAGGAAGGGCCAGACACATACACCCTGCTTTGGGCTGGGGTCACTGAGCCCCCTGTTATTTATTTTTACACATTGTACTACAATTCCTGTTTTTACTCGTTTGTACCTTTTTTATTGTGTCTTGTGGAGCTGCATGTACCAGCGCTGCCCACGGCCGTGCAGGGGCCACTCGGTGCAGCCTGAACCCAAGTGCCAATGTCTCAAAAAATGCCTTAATAAACCACACGTTTGTACAGACACAGCCCCATCCCTGCTGCTGTGGGCTCGTGCCAGGCTGGCACCATGTTCCCAAGGCACTGACCAGAGCGGGGATGCTGGACCTGCATCACGAAGGGCTCACATGAGCCTGGCCAGGCCCTGGCACCCACATCCATGGCTGCGTCCTGCCAAGTCCTGTTCCCGAGAGGCCAGTGAAGTTGTGGCACCCCATGGTCCTGGGGCTGTCCAACAGTGAGGCTGAGTGTGTTTCCATACAGGCATACGTGCAAACACAGCTGTGGAAGGCATGTCTCCACACGTGCACACAGCTGGTCCCGCATGCCACAGGCATCGCTATCCCATCCCCTACCCTCGCTCTGGTGAGGGCTGTGGGCAGGGCTGTGCAGGCACCCAGAGCTGTAGCAGCCACAGCTGGACACGTCTGCCCAGCAGGTACCTCACATTCCCAGGATCCCCACTGAGGACACCTGGACACACAAGTTCCCCAAGGCACAGCCTTATCACAGCCAGCATGCACAGACCTGCTCTGGGGATCCCAGTGCTCCAGCAATCCCGCCAGTCTGCCCAGTAACTTTGGCTCTGCTTCTCCCTGTTGGGTGATACAGACATGCACGGGGCTCTTTGCTGATCTCCAGACGCTGTGACCTGATGCCACACTCCTCACCAAACAGTGCCCCCTGGCCCCAGGAAACAGTTACCAAGCTGGAGAACCAGTAGTGGCCGTGCAGCTGTCAGGTGTTGGATGTGGCCAGACCCGTAGTGACCATCAACCAGCTACATATGATCACCCACTTCCATCCTGCTTTACCTTTGTTTGTTGTTCCCAAAACCAACCTGTTTATTCCCTGTCCTCAGCTCTCAGGTTCCAACACCCCACAGCAAGTCCTGCACAGCCCCAGCCTATTCTGCACAGCCCCCAAGGCACGCCCAGCCCTGCTGGCAGCACTCTGGGGCCAGGGGGCAGCTCCTGTCCCCCGGCTCTGACAGGGCTCCTCACTTCACTGGGGTAAGCATAAGCCAGCACAGCCGGGGCAGAGGGGGAAAGGACGACCACCCCGACCCTGATGGTGTCCCTGGGGTTCCCTCTGCTCCTTCCTCCCCCAGCCCGACTCCTTCTAGCTCCCTGCTGGGGTGCAGTGGGCATGCTGGTTGCCCTCAGTGCCACTGTCCTCCTCTGGTGTTCCTGGCCTCGGGAAAAGCCAGCTGCACACAGTGGGGACTCACATCACTGCACCTGTGGGAACAGCACACGAGGGTCCCGGAGAGCGAGGCTCCAGCCAGGGGACACAGAGGCTCCCTGACCTCCCAGGCGCTGGACCAACAGCAGATGCTCCTTAACACGATTAGCTCTGCCCGGCCGCCTTAATCCTGGCTGTCCAGACAGATCCAGGCATCATCCCCTGCAAATCTCATCCCACTTAGAGAATCCATCCCCAAACTGGACCTGGGCCGTGCAGCCCCGACAGCACCCCAGCCCCCGGTTGCGGCCAGGGCAGCTGGTTCCCCCGTGTCTGCAGTCAGGAGGAGGCTGGGGCTGCCAGGCCAGGGCAGCCGTGGGGCTGGAGCAGGGGAGCAGGAACAGACAGACACCTCTGGTGTTGCTCCAGCGCGGGGGATTGGCAACCTCGGCCGGGCAGGTGGTTTTCCTATTGCCTGTCTCTTCCTGGCCTGGGCTCCGCTCTGCAGAAGCAGGAAAGCAGCTGGGAACTGCTGGAGCCATGGGATGTGCCGTGTGACTGGGCTTGTCACTGAAACTGCAGGAAAACAAAAAAACTCTCCAACATTTATACTGTGAGAGAATCAAGGCATTGCTTTATTCTGGCCAGGATGTGCAACAGAAATTGTTTCATCCACATATGTCCTGGGTTGTGCAGAGAAAAATCATTCCATGACACATGAATTTTACTACATTTTCTACATATTTTATACAGCCAAAGCACATAGAAATTCATTGGTTCATTGTCCATTTGTCCCAAGTGTCAACGTTCTGTGTTTGGTTTCCTATTCGAGGAGTGACGTCTGCAGTTGATGTTCGTTCACGGTTGTTAACCTTTGTGTATCTCCTGCGCTGCCCCCAGCAGCCCCTCCTGCATGGGACCGCTCACCCCCCGCCCGGCCCGGGACCCCAGCAGGGTCCCCCGCCTGTCAAGGGCCTCTCCTCCCAGTCCGCGGCCATCGGTCCTGCACGGACTCTCGTCCTGCCTCCAGCCCTGCAGGGAGCCCTGCCCCCCGGAGCCCGGCACGGGCCCTCGGCCGAACGCCGTGTCCGAGCCGGGAACGTGTCCGCACCGCGCCGGGAGACGGCCGGGAACGGGCTGGGGGCGGCCAGGGCCGTGTCTGAGCCGCCTTGGGGCGGCCGGCAGGCAGCGAGTCCCCGCCGGCACCCAGTCCGGAGCCCGGTACCGTGCCTAGAGCCCGGTGCCGCAGCCCGGAGCCTGGTACCGTGCCCGGAGCCCAGATCCCGCCCCGTGCCCGTACCCCGGTACCGTGCCCG